TCTCTCTCTCTCTCTCTCTCTCTCTCTCTCTCTCTCTCCCATGCAGTCTGGAACTGACTATCTAGCTGAGGATGGGCTTGAACTCTTGATCCTCCCGTCCTGACTCCATAACACCTCCTTAGCTCCCAGCAGGGGTTCACACCCCTGAGCCCTCCATTCCTGTCCTCCTATGACATTCACCCACATGGTCCCCAACAGTCATCTGGACTAGTCAAAATAAACATGAGCCTCAGGACACCTTGGTAAACTTTATTCACAAACTCCAGACCCCTAGGCCTGGCTCTCTCGGCCACAGGGTACATTCATTCTTAGCAGTGGCAAAAACCCCAATGTAACACATTCATCAAGACTAACCATTGTAATTTAAATTAAAGCATTTCTGGAAGACAAATGCAATTGATAGAAAATATAAAAACTTTTACTGTACAAATTTTACATCACATTCAAAATAAGCAAATAAATGTCTGCCTCGCGGCCACAGAAGACTCTAGGTGTATACACAGATGACATCCTGGCTAGCGCTGCAGCATAGCGTGGCTGTCCCATCTCACTCTGTCACTACAGAGCAACACAGGCTTGCCACTCCCTGCCTGGACCACAAGAAGACAATGACGGAGGGCTCTGACTAGGTGCATTAGAGAAGCCCAGCACTAGCCTAGATTCACTACTTGCCACTCTGATGGGAAAAGGCTTTCCTCGGGGTGAGGCTGGCACTCAGGGGGCCTGGAAAAGGGCCTCACACTTTAGTGGACAGGTTCTCCGAGGCCTGAGCCTTTTTCATCGCCTTCACAGTGGCTATGCAGGCTGAATTCACAGTATCTGTCATCCTTCATGTGTTTCCCAGGAGACAAGGAGAGTACACAGGAGGTGAGCTTTCCTAACTTCAATTCACAGTCACTTAAGTAGAAAAGGAAGTGGGAACCACAGTGGGGGAACTCTCTTACATGAAGGGCAGACAGGCAGGACTTGGAGAACGAGGAGCAGGGTCCAGCACTACAGCTCCACTCTCGGCAGATGTCGGGCCCCCAGCATACTGGCCCCCAGAAGGGACCATGACTATTCCTATCTGGTCCCCGCACATGTGCAAGACCACACTCAATGCAGTGCTCAAAGCTTTCTGAACTGTGTTGTTCACATTACAAACCAAGACTCAGGCTTGCTGTCAGTGGGCTGTGTGCCGCCCACTGTGATTTGGTGTCAGGGGATAACTGAAAGGGTTAACTCAGCTGGCAGCCTGATGGCTCCCATTCTACCATGAGGGGAGGCCGACATCATAACACTCACATGGTGAGAGACTCGCCAGAGCCTCGGGCGCTGTGGCCTCTGGGAGGGCGCAGGCATGAGACTGCCAGAGGCAGTGGGCACACACTTGGTTTTGGAGTAGAGAGGTCACGTCAGGGCAAGTGAGGAAAGCTGAAGGGGCAGAGAAATTACTGGACAGCCCATGCAGAGCTGAGCAGAGGCTCATGGCTCTTCCTCCTCACCCTGAGGCATGGTCAAGATGCTACTGTCCTGGTGTGTGCTGGGGGCTGGGGGAGGGGGAGTTTCTACGACTTCTCAGAGAGTGGCCTGTTTTAAGAGACACCTGAACCAGAGTTGGTGTTAGCAAAAGCTCTGAAAACTGTGGCTTTACTGGGAGTATAACTGAGAGGGAGCTGGGTGGCCACTCACGGTGGGACTCAGCCTGTGGGTCTGAATCCAACCCAGTTTCCACTCCACCCCCATTTCTTCTCTCCTCTGGCTGTGGAGTCTGTTTGCTGCCTACCCTCCCTGCTCAAGGACCGCCCTGCTCGGTAGTCTACAGTTACTGGGCACCACATCTGACTTCCCCAGTCCAGCCCCTCCTGCTCACAGGAACGAACAGAGGTCTGAGGCTCAGATCAGAGCTTACCTAACTGATGTGCCTGGACCGTCTCATGCCCCCATCTGAGCTCAGAGCACACACAGGGTTCAGAAAGGGCTAAAGGGCTCCCACGAGATGGTAGGTCTAGAACCTTCTGGGGTGACAGACAGTGGACTTTAAGGTGCTAGGGTCACTGCTGCAGGCTGCATCTGCCACTGCCCCTGTTCTCCTTAACCAAGAACTGTACACACATAATGGGCTAGCCCTCGGCTCTGGGGGGTGTCTGATGATAGAGGCTGAGTTCCACAGCCTTTGTGCCTACCTGGAGGTCTCAGATAAGAAGTGGGCAGCTCTACAGATGTGTGGCTATTCCCTCACCCTGCAGCAGAAGCCGGGTTAAGATCCCTCAGATCAGTCTAGAAGTCACACAGATTCTGTCCGTATGGTTTTTTCTTGTTGTTGTTGTTGTTTTTTTTTGTTTTGTTTTTTTTTGTTTTTTTTTGTTTTCAAAGCACAAGAAGCCTGGATCAGAGCAGAAACTGAATCCAACTTTCCGGGAACTGTGACCCCTGTAATCCAGACAGATTCCTAAGCAAGGCTGCTGCTCCTTAGTGTGGTTCAGGGCCCAAGCACAGGCCAAGGCAAACCTGCCATGTGCCCTTCTCCCGGTACAGTCACATTCATGCCGATTTCCTTCTTCCATCCGGCTCAACCCTGGGCCCCTCACTGCTGCAGGGCCTTCCAGAAGTGGGGGGGTGTGCGGGGGGCATTCCTGCTGCTCCAAAGTGCCAGCACCCTTCTGCAGAATTATCTTTACCTACTGTAAAACACCAAGCTTGCCGGGCAGAAACCTCTGTGTAAACACTGGCTGTAGCTGTATCATCTGGAGTTTCGTGGACGGCGGTGATCCCGAGCCCCACACACCTTGGTAATGCACGTTCTTCATGGAGAAGTCAAGCTCCTAGTCCGCAGCTTGGGCTGCAATGCTTCTGATTCCTTGTGCTGGTGGTTTGCATGTTTCGTAATCATGTTCCAGGAAGGAAGACACTCTCTGCATGAACGTGCATGGCTGGCTACATCTTTGGATTACTGGACTCCAGGGTCCCCAGGCCAAACCTTTCAAAGCGAGGCATGACTTTGCTGCTGTTAATGCTGCAGAGAGGAGCAGAGACACCGGTTATGGCTCTGCTGGCCTTGTTCAGAGTTAAGGTGTAGCTGGCTAAGCTTAGCAGAGGAGCTGAGTGATGCCAACTGCTCCGTCCACAGCCTTGGCAGAGCTGCTCCTGGCCTCCCTAAGTCCTGGGCCTCGGCCACACTCCCTACCTGGCAGGGATGAGGGGAAGACAGTGGCTTGTTCACCTGACTGCCCAGCACCCAGCATGTGGTAGCTGTTGCTTCCGCCCTGGCTGCTCCATGTAGTGTGGAACTGGGTGAGCCAGGCCTGAGGACCAGCGATGTCACACACTCCTTTTAGAAATGGTGCTCATGGGGGGTGGGGGGTGTCCACTGGGGCCACTACGGAGTAGAATCCTGAGCCTGACTGCAGAAATCTGGTCAGGGACAGACATGCACTCCTAACAGACAGGCTTGCGGCGGCAGGCTTGCCTCTGTTATTAAGCTCTGATCTCAGGTGTCACTTTGTTTATGAGTTTCGAGTGTGCCTCCTTTCACAGCAACACAGCTGTGTTGGGGTGTGTGTGTTTGTGTGTGTGCATTGTTGGGGTGTGTGTGTTTGTGTGTGTGCATTTGTGTCTACTGTCCTGTCTTCAAGGGAGAGAGGACTCCAGGGAGAGAGAACTCCAGTTGGTCCATGACCTCAGTGCTGACTCTGGGCAGCTCTGAACTGTGACATCCTTTGCAGGACAATGTCCCAGGGTCACCATGCCCCTCCCCATCCTCTGAGCATGCTCAGCAGGGGCTCATGAAGGTGTTAGTCAGGGCTAGGGAGCAGAGGAACACAAGCAAGAGCCACTCTCCGGAGAACGAGAGAGAAGAGACCATCTTATCAACGAAGGCAGCTGAAAGCTGTTCTTCTGCCTTGACGGTCACCCCGTTAGTGTCATCCTCCCCTGGCAGTGACACAAGTCAGGCACCCATGGGCCATGTGGGGGGGAGGGGAAGCTGTTAAAAACAGAGCACAGGGAGGAGTCTGGAGCAGCAGAGATGGCGTCCCCTGGGTTAGTGCCCGCCGGCGTTCTGAGTCTTAGCAGAAGTCGTGAAGCTGAGTCGGTGGTTAGGAGGAAGGAAGCCCCGGGGCATGCAAGGCAGCCATGTCTACAACCTAGGGACAGAGGAGAGGGGGCGATCAGAACCTGAGCCTAAGAGCCAGGGCTCAGGGGCCTGGCCAGGGCAGCTGCCCAGGGACCCACCTGGATAGGATCCCCACCTCCACCCCTCAGAATGGCTTGGGGCAAGCACAGGGAATCTTCTCCAAGTTCCCACAGGGCAGTTGTAGGCACCGCAGGCATGGCTCCTTGTGCCGATCAAATGGCTTCAGAGGTGGTCCCTTCTGCTTACTCGGCTCTCCCCTGCCTCTCTCTACGCTCATTATTACCAACGTCATTATTAATATTTGTAGTTCCGGAGCCCAAACCCAGCCTTGAGAATCCTGAGCAAGAGCTCTCCACAGAGCCACACCCTAGCCGCTCACTGGTGCTTGTTTGTTTGCTTTTTGAGACAGGGTCTCTTCTGGCACTCACTATGTAGACCAGGCTGGCCTCAGACTCAGAGATCCACCTGCCCCTGCCTCCTGAGTGCTGGGATCAAAGGTGTGTACCCATCACCATGCCCAGCTGCCACTGATGCTTTTATTTCTGACATTTTACTATGTATCCCAGGCTAGACCCAAACTTAAAATTCCCCTGCCTCAGCCTCCTGAATGCTGGGATGATAGGCACATGCTACCACAACTTGATCACTGTATTCTCCTCTTCTGAGCTCTAGCCAAAGTGGGATTTGGAGGGGACTTGCTTTGCTCAATGAGCGCTAAATCCCCCTTGCTCACATGCTAGCTAGCCCATGTGATATAGAGAGGGGCCCTCCCTGCCACACACTGTTTGTTTCTTTAACCCTCTGTGAGAAACACGAGTCTAGTGGCCATTTCAGATGCAAGAGGTCAGAGTGCATTTCAGGAATCAAAGCAAGAATGTGAGAAGCTGGCATGCAGAGACAGAATGGGAAGGGCGGGTAGGACAGCCACACACGCAGGAAAAGAGAGAATGATGGAAACACACTATTCCTCCAGAACTGGACAGGAGTTCTTAAAGTCAGGGTGACCATATCGTCCTTTCCCGTAGTAGCGGCTCCGCCAGCGGCTAGGGGTGCCCGAGACCATTTCACCAGCAGTTGAAGAGAGCCATCCAATCCGGTCCAGCCCGGTGAGTGATGACAGCCAGCAGACAGGTGGAAGAGTCAGGATGGTAGAACAGGGGAGATGACAAGACAGGCCAGGGTATCCGCCACCCCCCGGAAATGAAAAGTGACAAAGCCGATGGGAAAGAAAACAGAAAGTGAGAGTTAGAGACCCCATGTCTGAGGAAGCAGAGGCCAGGAACACAAAGCTCACGGAAGCCTGGGAGCTGGTGGCCGCGGCCTGTTAACGGACCCTTTTAGTGGACTCTTCCCATCTGGGAGCTGAGAAGGTGGGGCTGACTGGTTTCCAGAAACAGGAGTCATTTCTGAATGCCAGTGCCTGCCCAGTACAGGTGTGGTTTCATAGAGGAGGAAGCCTGTACCCAGAGGGCCTAGGATCTACACAGCACAGGGCTCAGCCCGGAGGGCCTCAATGCCCCTCCCTCACTTGCCAAGGTTACAGGATTTACCACCTGACACTTGGCAAACTTTGTGCACTCTGGATCTGACCTGACTCCCACTGAGGAAGCCGAGACAAGTGACAGGGGCCCAGGTCATGACAAAGGGTTGTGGCTGGAGAGGGTTTTTTGGGAGAGGAAGTCAGAGAGCCAAAGTAGAAACAGAAGAGGAGAGAATACAGGGGAGATGACAGTGCCCCCTGCTGCTTTGTGCCTCAGGGGTAAAAGCTCCTGACACAAGGGCCGCATAGCTCAGTGGCAGACCACTAGGGGGCGCCAAGCTTTCAGTGCTCAACAGTTCAGTGATAAGTGGGTGCCAGCCTAAGCAATATTGATGCTGCTTGTTAGGGGCTGTTTTGGTACCTACATGGTCCTGACCTCTGACCCCTTCTCTTGGCACAAGTCTCTCATCATGGTCTAGCCTGGGCTTGGTGTCAGTGATGGTCTAATATAGTGATATGTGGATTTCCACAGGTGGAAATGAGGTGCTCCTCTATTACAGGGCACCTCTAGCACCAACTGGGTAGATGAGAATCCTTCGGCTCCTCTACTCTGGGGTAGCCTCAGCTCGTGGTCTGATGCATGTCCAGCAGAGGGCGCCCTCAGACACTCCAGACGGAAGCTCTCCAGATGGTAGGTCTGGTTCATGGAGGCAGTACTTACTCAGCCGACTTCCAAAAGTGCCCAGGGTGGGAGAGCCTCCGGTTCAGCTTGGGCAGTTTCTCCAGCATGTCCATCAGCAGGCTGAAGCTGGGTCTCTCCTGCAGGTCGAAAGCCCAGCAGGCAGACAGGATCTCCTGTAAAAAAGCACTGGAGTTGGTGGTATGTGGGCATCTGGGAGTGAGGCACAGGACAGAACACTTCCCAAGGAGTCCCGTGAAGCCCTCAAGTGCCCGGCTCATCTGTGGACCCAGAACCCTGGGAAGTTAGTTTTTTAGATGAGCCACAACCTTCCAGGTCAAAACGAACTTGCCTGCTTTCCTTCCTCCTCGACCTGTCGGTGACCAAGTCAAGCAGAATGGAAACGGGGAGAGGTCAAAATGAGAGCAGGTGGCCTTTCAAGATGGAAGGCACATCCTATGAACATGGAAGTGTTTGTAGGTAAAGGGAGAGTTCTTGGAATATATAGGGAACGGGGCTGCCACTAGGGGGCACCTCAGTGTTCCAGCGCTGAGACTGGACAGGCAGTACTAAATACAGGAGCAGTGGCTGAGAACCCTCCAAACAGCTGCCATGACAGATGGAAGGCTTTCTTCTCAGGGTCCACTCAGCCCCAGAGCACCCTCTGTAGCCTTGACATCCAGGGGCATGGCCCGCACATGTGGCCAACACAAGGCACACACCCCTGAGACTTTTGTCCTCGATATAATGATCCCTGTACCCGCACGACTAGGAAAGCCTGCGCCCTGCCTGTGGTCCTTCATAGTCATGTCACATGCCCAGCCCATGCTTGTCCTTCCTTCCCTCTACTCACGCCAACTTCCTTCCCCAGGCTGACGGATGCCAGGACACGCCTTACTCCTTCCCCACTTCCAATCTGCCAGATCAAGGCCTCGGCAGGCTGGTGCTTAAAGGGCCAGTCTCTTGCCTGTAGTTCATACCACACAGTCCTGTGGAGACACACCACTGGTGTGAGCTACTGGAGCTTCACAATGGCTCGCCCATGTTAGTAGCCAGAGACCAGAGGCCAAAAACAGTCACTAAGCCAACAACTAGCACAGCCATGACTTTCCAAGGCACACTTCCCAGCCCAATGGCCCCAGAGCCTTCCCTCTTGAACTTGGGGGCTGGTTGTTTGAACTCACCCAAATGCATAGACATCAGCGGCTTTGGAGAAGGGTAGCTGGTCCTCACCCCTTCCCGGTATCATTTCTCGAACAATCTCGGGGGCCAGGTAGCACAGCCAGTCATGTGACAGTTTCAATTGGTTCTCACGCCTGGAGGCCAGGACAAGGACACATCAGTGGGGAGCAGGTGGCCTGACTATACACATCTGTCACTCACTTACATGTGGTACGCAGAAAGCCGAGAGAGTAGCACAGAGGTCTTGCCTTTGAATAGGATGGGCATGTCTAGGGAGGGAGGCTACAGCTGGGGATGGCAGGGAGCTGCTGGTGACAGGGTCTGAGTCCCTGTGTTGGGAGAGGACTGGTTTGTCCAGGTCTCGGGTGACTGCAGCTATCACATGTGCATGCTGACTCTCTGGCCTGGCACTCTTCCTTTTGGTCTCCATTTTTAGGGAGGGGCTTTTCTTGCCACTCCAACCCCTTTACAACCACAGGAAGTAAACTCCAATGTCCTTTCTCATCAAGGGGAGACAAGCCTGGCCTCTCACCCATCACTGACGAGCCAAGCTGAATGCGTGCCAGGGGACTCAGCCTCCATGGTACCCACTTGGAAGTCGAGTACCACAAGGGACCTAAATATTACCTAGACCCAACTCTGGCCTGAAACAGCATGGGCTGAATCATACACTGAGGCAACCTAGCCTGTGTAGACGAGGCTCTATCCAGTGACACAGCCAGGGGAACCCCACACTCATACAGTGCTCCAGTTCCCTGATTCACGCAGACACCCACAGCCAACTCACCGTTCCTCTCGGACCACGCCTGAGATCCCGAACAGCCCAAAGTCTGTGATGACCACCTTGCCATTGTCATAGAAGACATTCTTGGACTTGAGGTCCTTGTGCACGATGCCTTTTGCATGAAGATACCCCATGCCCTGGAAGACATCCAACCTTGCATCAGTGGGTGGGGGATGCTGATGGAGGTTGGGCTTCATTCAGGGCAACACACAGCATCTACCCCCAGATCCACCCTCACATAGACAGCAGGCAGGGGGATACTGTCCTCAGCTTACGGATGAAGCAACTGAGGCTCAAAGAGGGCAAGTGAATTGCCTCAGGTCACACAGCAGTCAGACAGGGAGCACAGATCTGACCTCAAGCCAGTCCATGCTCTTTCTATGCCACTCTGCTGCCCGATAGCTACCTCAGACTCGGGTAACTGTGGACACAGTGAGTGGTAGTGGGCAGTCAGGGAGCACAGAGCTGAGTGATAAGGGCCGGAGATGTAGCTTAGCAGTAAGCATGCACATGGTCCTGTGTTAAGTACTCAGCATTACCGACTTAAAAAATAACTGACCAGGGCTGGGGAGATGGCTCAGTGGTTAGGAACACTTCCTTCTCCTGCAGAGAGGGTGAGAGTTCAGTTTCCAGCACCCACACAGGGTAGCTCACAACCATCTGTAACTCTAATTCCAAAGAATACAGGGTCCATTTCGGGCCTCTGTGGCACAAAACTGAAAGCACATGCAGTCCCAGCGCCCCCCTTCCCCCCTCCCTCCCTCCCTCCCTCCCTCCCTCCTTACACAGACACACAGACGGGGGCATTTATTAATATCATCTGGGCTGGGGCATACAGAGCCCAGATGAGCTGAACTCTGCTTTTTGGCAAGGCAGCACTCGGAGGGGGCAACAGACACATTCCCAGGGTGAGATTTGAAGTTCAGCTGTTTCCAACACCTTGTCATGGTAGCAGGAGCCCAGATGAAGCCTGAGGTCTGAGTTCCATGCTCCATTTCCAGAGGCTAGCCCTGTGCGGGCCTTGCCACACACCAGGTGAAATGTGATTGCCACCAGCATATGCTCCGGCCTGCCCAATCAAGGGTCAAGCACACAGAGCCCATGACCTGACAATGGGACCTCAATAAGGCCACAGCTACTCAAAACGAATCCCCTAAATTCTCAGGACTCTTGGAGGGTCCTGACACCTCCGGGGCACACTGTCACAAGAGAATGGCCTGTCTAGCTGTGGCCTCCTCCCACCTCCCAGTTTCCGCATGAGGTTTCCCAGAAGTGTCCCTGGCTATAAAGGAGTTTGGGTCACATGCCTGGAAACATAAAAGCCATGTTTAGGAAACATTATCAACCACAGACACAAATCCATTGCGTGAGTATCAGAAGAGAGCTTAACCCAAGTAAATTCTGCTCTAAGAAGCAAGAGGGTGTGAGGCCTGGGACCTCCCATGGGACCTGTCTTCCAGTGAGAGGCCCTTCCCCAGACTCTGACTGAAATGCAAACCAAACTTTATAAAATATAGTGCCATTTCCTAAACCAGGACAAGCCTTTCCCAGGTGTCCCAGTGACAGATTCCACTGTGGGCTGACTAAGGACAAGGATCTGTCCCTCTCTGAGGCTGACTCACACTGCAGACACTGAGTGGGGCTTGGTGGATTACATTTGTAATCCCAGGACTTGAGAGCTGGAGAGAGGAGTTTAAGGTTATCCTCAGCTACACAGTGAATTTGAAGATAGCCTAGGCTACATGGTCCCTGACATAAAACAAAATAACCATCTGAACAAACAAAAACCAGATGTGACAGCCGGAAAGGGCCAGTTGAAGAGGGGCTGTGGAGCAGAGAACCTGGACCATCAGTCCTTTCCCCAGGGCTTTCTGGGGTCTCCACGGCAACCCCCAAAGTTGCAAGCCTCTCAGTGAAGTTCGGGTCCCTCTGCTCTACTTTTGACTCTCAAAGCATCTCAGATGCTCTAAAAACGGAAGCGAGCAGGGGGTAGTGTGCTGACCTAGGGGCCCCCAGGGGGAAGAGGAGGGGTTTTAGCAGGAAGGAAACAGGAGGACCAAGAGGCAGCCAGAGGCAACTCCAGAGACTTTGTGTCACTTTCCCTCTGGGCCCTGGCTCCACTGGCTCACATGACTCAGAGGACAGCTCCCAGTTTGAGAAAGAACAGAAAGTGTAGAGGAGCAGGATTCAGGTGTGGGTGGGGAGATGGAACAGAGTCCCTGGTGAAAGGCCTCAGACCACACTGGAGGCAGAGGTGACACCTTGGGGTTTGGTCTTGGAGGTTTAATTTATAATCGTGACCTTGGAAAGGGACAGACTGAAACCCTGTTTGTCCCCAAATGCCATTGGGATAATCTTTTCTAAAGACATCCATATACACAGAACACTCCAGAGAAGGGGGTGGGGCATAAGGGAAGGAAGGTCAGAGGAGACAAAAGGGCAAACTGCAGCACAGCTGCAAGAGAGGCAATTCTTCTCTTCTGAGACAGAATCTCATGTAGCCCAGGCCAGCTCTGAACTTGCTTGGTAGCCAGGCAGAGATTACAGGTGTGTGCCACTGTAATGCCTATGGTGATGCGGACTGAACCCATGGCTCTGTGCATACTAGCCAAGCACTCTACCAACTGAGATACATGCCCAGCCTAAGAGGCTGCAGCTTTTCAACACAGACAAGTTTAAAAAAAAAAAAGGAGAGGAGGCTATATTCAGTATCTTATGATTTCTATTCACATCACTTGGCTTTATTTTACTATTTTTTTTTTAAAATAGATTTATTCATTCTATGTGTGTTTTGCCTTCACATATGTGTGTGCGGCATGTGTGTGCTTGGTGCCCACGGAGGTCAGAGGAGTCAGATCCCCTGGCACTAGAGTAAAAGGATGCTTGTGACCCACATGGATGCTGGGACTGGAACCCAGGCCCTCTGCAAGAGCAGCAAGTGTTCTTAACCACTGAGCCGCCTCTCCAGTCCTCTTAACAGTTTGTTTAAGCGATGTGTGAGAGACTCACTTTAATTAATTTTTAAAATGAGAGTGGAAAACAGCTGCTTGCGCTGAACAAAAGGGCCTGCTCTCAGGAAGCCTAGATCAGGATAACTAACAGCAAACTTGCAAAAAGTGTGGGTCTTTTTATGCCCTGAGGTGAAACACTGTTTCCCACTGCTGGTTCTAAGAAACCCTCCTCACCAAGCACTAGCTCCGTGACTCTGTTCTCTGTACAGACGATGTCATTGTCTCTGCTCTGACCTAATGCTCTGTGTTGGCATCTACAGGGGAGGAAGCTGAGACTCAGAGAGGCTAAACCTTCCTGAGGTCACACAGCTAGAGTGACTCTGTCTTTAGGGCATGCAGTGTTTCCTCACAGCTACTTAACCCCCAGGGGAGCTTTGCATTTGATTGGATGAGACAGGGACCCAGGCTGAGGTGCCCCAGTTAGGACACAGAGGAGCCACAAACCACCGGCCACAGGCAGATATGGCCTGGGGGAAGACCAAGAGCTCTAGAGGTGGCTGGAACCCCCATTCCAACCCCACCTTTACCTTGATGATCTCCTGGGCGATCTGCCTAGTCTTGTTGATGTCCAGAGATGTCTTGGGGTCCCTCACGAATGAATGCAATGTTCGCCCCTTGCAGAAGCTGTTGAGTAGTGGGGATGGGTAAGAGGCCTAGAGCTAGTACAGGTTTGCCCAATGGAACCTGTAAGGGGAACTGCGCCCACCTGCTTCTAGAAGGTTCTCCATCCCAACCAACACAATCCAAAGAACATGTTCTTTAACCAGGACTCCTGCTACAGCTCAGCTACACATGCATGCACACCCATTTCTGGAGGCTCAGGGCCTGGCAGCTCACCTACACTCCCAGGCCATCTTTACACGGGGCAGGAGAACTCAGACGGGGAAGAACTCAGCCTCCGGGACTCTCAACAGGCCACACAGAGTCTCTAGGACTCACTACGAAGGTTATCATTTCATTATATTTAGATCCCAGGTTATCCCATCCTGTTGCTAACTGAGTGTCCAGTTGCTCCTCTCTGTGCAGCTCTGTTCACTAACTCCAAGCTCTTCTGGAATGGAGGCCCGAGTGAGAGGGTGGGGGGATGGCAGAGGAGGCTGCGGGGCAGGGCACCCACAGCTGGACTCCCTGGAGACTCCACTGTGCTGCTCTGGGCTGGGTTTTTTGTTTTTTGCTTTTTGTTTTTCGAGACAGGGTTTCTCTTTCGAGACAGGCCAGGCTGTCCTGGAACTCACTCTGTAGACCAGGCTGGCCTCGAACTCAGAAATCCACCTGCCTCTGCCTCCCAAGTGCTGGGATTAAAGGCGTGCGCCACCACTGCCCAGCCTGGGCTGGGATTCTATAGAATGGGCCAGGGGACTCTAGTGACATGACAGTGTTCAGTTCTTTACCTCTGAGAACAAGGGCAGATTTTCCTTGTTTGTTGCATTAAGGAAAACAAACAAAAAAACAGCTGTTTGTTTTAGGGGTTGTTTGCTTGCTTTCCCCAAAGCACAGGGTCCAGGTCCAGGGTATCTTATGTTGGAGAGGATTCTCTTGGCTTCACGGAATGGAGTCATGAGGGCCTGAGTTTGGTCCCAGCAACCACTTAAAAAGCTAGGTGTGAAACGGGCACAATGTTGCTTGTCCTTATTCTTGGCGCTCAGGAGGCAGGGGCAGGTGAATCTGATTTGGGGCTAGCCTGGATTACATAGCGAGTTCTAGGACAGCCACAGCCCTACTGAGAGACTATCTTCATGTGTGTGCCCTGCCCTCACACACACCCCACTCTATAAACCTCAGTGCCGGGATCTGAACTTGGGTCCTCATGCTTACAGAACAGGTGTTCTGTAACCCACCAAGCCCTCTCCCCAGCCCCTTTTTCTGATTTCAAAAGTCAACAGTTTAAGTGGCCCAGGCAAGCGTTCCTGTATCTGGCCTGCTGCTCTGGGTAAGGGTCACTGTTTTCCAGAGACTGACAATTGAGTTCCTGGAGTAGACAAAGGCAATACACACAAAGACACCAACTGTCAGGACTGACTGGGGTGTGGCTCAGCACAGCCCTCACGGAATTTGCAAGGCACTGGGCTCATCCCTCAGCAGCACACGCACTTCCAGGCAGACCCTAGGTCTACCGTCAACTGACAGGAGTGAAACTGTGAGCCAGCATAATCTTAGTCATATATTTTAAAGTTAAATTGCATTTATTTATTTTTTTGTATATGTGCCTGTGTGCATGCGTGCACATACCACAGCATGCCTGTGGAGGTCAGGGCACAACCTGTGGGAATCATCTCCCTCACTGTGGGTTCTGGGGATCAAGATCAGGTTGTCAGGCTTGTGCAACAAGTGCCCTAACCTGCTGAGCCATCTCACTGGCCCTCAACCTGCTTTATCCTAATGAAAGAAATATTGAGATTACCCACACTCGCCTTTGATGGGAAAAGCACTCAGCCAACGTGGGGTGAGGGGAGCTTCTGCTTTACATCTTTTTAGAACACTGGGGTTTTCTTTATGCCCAGAGGGGGTCTCTTTATTGTTGTTGTTGTTGTTATTATTGCTACTACTATTACTACTATTATTTGGAGGGGAGACAGGGTCTTGCTTTGTGGCCCAGGCTATCTTAAACTCAAGATTCTCCTGCCTCAACCTCCAAGTGTTGAAACTCCAGGTGTGTGCCAGCTCTGACGTTGGTCAGTGGTCCCGAGTGAATGCAGAAATGATTCTTAATCTTTGTCTTTCTTTGTCCTCTCTCTGAGAACCCTTCCATACTCTCTGGGGCATCCACAGAAAGCAGAAGGCTGCAGGCACAGGGAGGCTGTGCTGCTCACGGGCCCAGATGGGGTGGCTTACCTGGTGATGATGGCCAGGTGAGGTGGGTTCATGCAGGCCCCCATGAAGAGCACCACGTTCTCATGCCGGGTCTGACGGTAGTTCATCACCTCTTTCTTGAACAGCTTCAGGTGGTCCTGGTTGTGGCCGTCCATCTCCAGCAGCCGAATGGCCACCTCGCCATGCCAACGGCCTCGGTGCACCCGGCCCCAGCGACCTTGCCCAATGGGCTCGCCCAGTTCTACCTGTTCAAAGGGGATGTCCCACTCTTGCAGGTAGACGCTGGTCTGGCTGGCTTTTCGAGAGATGGGGCCCCGCCAGGGCCGACGGGAGCTGGGGAGGTCATCCAACTCATCCTCATCATCTTCTGCCTCTGACTTGCCAGCCTCAGGCTCCTCGGCCTGAAAGAAGAGAGAGAGTCTGGGTCTTTTCTTCCTGGAGTGCTGGCCAGGCGTCACCACCAATGCCTGCTACCCTGACCTGGTATTCTCTGTCTGAACACACAGCTTCTGATACCTATGCTCCCTGCGTCCACTGCGCTGCTCTGCAGAGACCCAACCTTGGTTCATATTTCCATTTGAAGGTCAAGCCAGTGGCTTCTTTCTTTTTAAGACAAGGGCTCATGTAGACCAGGCTAGGTTCCAACTTACTATGTAGCTGAGGAAGACTTTGAACTTCTGACCCTCCTAACCTCCACTTTCTCCGGAGCTGGGATTACACATGGCTAAGATGAAGGCAGCAGGTCTTGGCACGGATCAGAACTACCTATCAAGCTCCGAGAACACAGAGATGCTGACCCCTAACCCCAGACTGACTGACTTAGCTCCCAGGCTAGGGCCCAGGTCTGTGGGTTGGGAGCAAGAACAGAATAGAGAGGTTCTTTCAGCGAGCAACAGCTTGCTAGCTTGCACTTCACATTCTTCTTCTCTGTTGCACATATCCGCCCACACCTGCTACAACAGGCTCCGCACCCTCATCCCCCATGCCCTCCACCTACCCGAACACCGAGAGAGAGAGAGAGAGAGAGAGAGAGAGAGAGAGAGAGAGAGACAGAGAGAGACAGAGAGAGAGAGAGACAGAGAGAGAGAGACAGAGAGAGACAGAGACACAGAGAGACAGAGAGAGACAGAGACAGACAGAGACAGACAGAGACAGAGACAGAGAGAGGCAGCTACCTTGGGTCTCATACATGTTGCTGCTACTCACCTCTGCTTCGTGAACACCCAGCACATCTGTTTTGGGCTGGTCGTTGAGCCTAAGAGTGAAATGGGCTTTGTCAAGGAGATTCTGGGCCTGGCAGGGGTGGCCCTGCATGAGGCCATGTGGATGTTGTGGACTTCAGCAGGAGGCTGACTGGATCGGGTGAGGATGAGGGTGGGCATGGTGCAGGGCCCCACACTCCTGCCTCTGAGACCTGGCTATCACATCCTTGCTATGTGAACTTGTGTAACATAACCCCTCTGAGTGGTTGCACCCTCTGGGAGACCTACTTCACTGGCTGAGAACTGTGCAGCCAGGAGCCAAGCGCTCTGGGAAACCTAATGGAGAGGGGACCAGAGGCGGGAGTTATGTTTAGCTGGTCTCTGTTCACCTACATTCCCTCCTGGGCCACAAACTTGCTGCCTTTGTAAACACAGTCCCACTCCAGGCTCACTGCACTTCCACGAGGCAAATCAACTCCCAGGCTCAGAGGACGAATCAGCCCCACTCTCCTCCACGCTGGCCCAGGACCAGAGGGTCAGAAATTTAGGGATAGGTTGGGAGGTGGCTGGGAGGGTTCATACCGTGTACTGTCGGCTGTGCTGGGCTGCGGGGCTGCCTGAGGACAGGCTGAAATGTCTGTAGGAAGAAGAACAGGAACAAAGTGTGGGAGAGCTTTCCTTCATCCCCAAAGACCAGCACACCAGGGCATCCCCCTCTCCTGAGCTGCTACTGCTCCTCGGGCCACTCCCACCAGGATCTGACTGTGCTCTGCATGCTGTCACAGACTCAGTCTACAGCCTTTGGTCTACATGGCTGTCCCAGGCAGAGGCTCTACATGAGTGACTCTATCTAGAGAGACCCCAACAATTAATACCACTGCCCTGGGCCCAAACAACTCTAAGAGTGGCAAAAGCTAACACTATTACTTCTGTAGAGTTTCTGGTAGGAAGCAGGGCTGGCTGTAACTTTTTAAAGTAGAGACCCTCTTTGCCTAGCTAGTGGCAGAGCCGGCAGCTCTATGACACCTGATAACACCTGTGATATCGGTATCTGGTGTAGCTGTGGGTCACCCAATTGGGTGGTGAGTGTCACAGCTCTGGGTAAGAAGAGGAAATTCAGTCTGTGGACCAGGAGGCTCCAGGCTGGGCAGCTGACCCCTGACCCTAGGTAGTCTAGCTGTAGCACAAAGACCTGCCTCTAGGACACATCGAGGGTCACTCCAAAAGTGGAGCCAAAGTGCTACATGAAGAGAGGTGTCGGAAGTCAGCGCTCCCCTCTATCAACAAAGAGAACCAGGAAGCAGAAACAGCTCAAGCTGTCAGTAGCCCCTCTCCTGCCCTAGACAAAGACCTTCCCCCTCAGCCCTCAGTTAATCTCCTTTGTTGAAAAGTTTTCTCAGTGGAATCAAACTCTGACAGAAGCTGTGAGCCTTCTTAACAAGGCATGCACATGTGCCCAACATCCCGTCAGTGTTGGGGGTCCATGGGCCTCAGAAACATCTTCTACAGCCTCTCCAGTCACAGCCATATGACCTCTAGACTACCAGGCCAGCATGTTCGCACATGCTCAGAACACTCCAGAAGCTACACACGCCTCAGATGAGGTGTAAGAGTGTGGGTGAATGTCTGAGAAGCCTCACTCTTGCCCTTGGAAGTTTAGAGTGCATTGTGCAGTATGTTCCTACCTGTCCCTGTTACAACTGGTACACAGGGCCCTACGCCCACCTGCAGGACAAAACAGGCCATCCAGGAAGAAGTGCCATGGTTCCTCAGTGGGGGTGGGGGAACACTAGTGTACATATCCTAGAGCTGGTGACTAGGAAGGCTCTAGGGAGGTAGGGAATCATACAAAAGGGGCGGATCCTCCAAGCCCTGACAGCTGACGACCACACCTCAGTAGTGTTACAAGGATAAGCACTGCCAAATGTTCCAACTCGATTCCTGAATGGAGCTGATCTGGGAGACAGAAAGGCCAGGAGTAACCAAAAATACTGGGGCTTCCAGTCTTGGCAAAGCACATCAGCCCACTGTGTTGAGTACTTCCAGCAGGAGGAGAGAAGCATTGATCCTATACATCCAGAAGGGGAAGGGATATGGTCAAATGCACAGCTGTGCAAATATAGATTTTGTAGAAGGAAATCCATGGGTTGCCTTATTTAATCAAAGCTTTTCCTTCAAACTTTCTGCAGTGAAGAGGTAGTTCCAGTGACGACCAGCAAGGGGCACTGTGTGTTAAGGCTGGGAAAGGCAAAGGCAGCTGACACATGACAATGCCGCTAAGACTTTCCCAAATTGGCTTTCCCTCGTTCGTTATTCACCAGGCATCATTAGCAAGCGGCTCCTCTCTCCCGTTCTGCAAACGTGTGAGTTCTGCTTTCTCATCCGTCTCTGTCACTTCCTAGCAGTGTGACCCTGAACTAGTTCCCTGCACTTTATGCAAGAGGGCTAGGCAGGATGGACTCCAGAGACCCATCCCACAATGTACTGCCCACATAAGGGTCCACATCTCCAGGACTTCTCTCCCTCTTGCCCAACTGCAGTAGACTCAAGCGTGTGGGGAGAAGGCACCAGGCGGGATGGCCAGAGGGTCACGGTGAGGGGCAGTTAGTGGACCCATGCAGAAGACTCACCTGGAAAGATAAACTGCTGTCTATGATGAATGAAGTAGGCAGCTTTAAACAGAAGAGGAGGCGAGTCACACAGTGCACAGGCAGCGCAGGAGGGGTGCGTGGACTTGGGGGGCAGGCAATGGTTATTGGCTTAGGTGGCTCTGCCCCAGGGGCTCTGGTGAGAAAAGGTGGAGCCATCCAGGAAAGATACCCAAACTAGGAGAGAATCAGGGCGTGGCTAGCCCAGGAGTGGTGCAGCTGCACTAGAGATGGGGCAGCAGACCAGCTCAGTGGTTCCCTTACTGCACAGCCCTGGCCATGCACACTGGGAAAAGCTTGGACCAGGTTTGTTCTAGAAAGATGTCCTTGAGCCACGAGGCTAAGGGAGAGTAGGGAGAGCAGAGGCTGTGCCAAGGCTCGATGGCATGTGTGGAAGAGCCTCTTTCCCTTCAGTCTGGCCCCACCTGGAAGCAACTTAACCTCACTCCCTGGGTTCTGGATTGGGCTCAGTGCTGTGATTCCAGACTGAGGACCATTACATACCACTTGTTTTATGTTTTTGAGATGCTTGCTATCTTGTTTGGGCTTGTTTCAAACACACGGGCTCCCTTCTCCTGCCTTGGCCTTGCAAGAAGTTGGAACTCTAGGTGAGTCTAACTTTGGCTCTACTTCATGCTAAGGCTCTGGGGCCTGAGGAGGTAGTTAACCCCTTAGTGCCTGACTGCAAACGGGGGAATCCATGAGCTTGCCCAGGCTGTCCTGTGCAGGACAGCTGTGAGGATCCTGGACAGCACAGGACAGGTAGGTGGTAGGAGGGGTTCAAGTCCTTCCCAGCCCACTAGGGGTTTGTTCATGATTCCACTAAGATCATGGAGAGGGTGACGCTTCTGGGCAGGGGACGATGGGAACCCATCTCCTTCATGGGTCATCTGTGTAAGTGGAGAGGGTCTGATCAATATAATAAAAAAGACATTTTCTGTGTCCCTTATACTTCAACTGGCCTTTCTTAAGAAAACCCAAACTAGACGGTGTAGCAAAGGCAGAATGAACAGGAAGGGAAGCTAACCCAGGGGCTGTAGCTCAACTGGAGGGTGGGGTGGTATGCAGGGCACAGACTTCAATGTTAGGAGCACTCCAGCCACATGCATATTAAGTAAGGCACAAGAACAAGGGATGGAAGAGTCCTGCCTCCCCCCTATCCCCAAGAGAAGCATTAAAGTCCCCGAGGGACCAGAGGCTGCTTGGCCAGCTGCTGGCTATGTATAGGTCAGTGTGGGTCCCATTAGCCAGGTGAAGGGTTGAGGGGTGTGGTGGTACTCTGTCTTTCTGGGCTTAGAAGTCCAGAGACCAGTGATGCAGGCCTGATCTGGATCCCAGGGGTGTCACTAGGCAGCTTTTCTCTCTAAAACTAAAGACCAGATAAGCCCAGGACTGGTGTTTGACATCCCTTGCTGAGGATGCAAACGGGGCAACACCAAGGCGACAGCTAAGTGCCATGTAGGTAGGTGGGCCTTGCTCTGCACCCTGGAGACAGGGCAGCCCAGTGTGGCTGACCAGAACGGACAGCAAAGCAGGATGCAATCCTGGCTTCTTCCTGCAGATCTGGGGCATCTGGGTCTGCACAGCATCTGAGGGCAGCTGGGCTCAGCTCTGCTCCCCCAGAGTTGCCCCAGGACCCTGTATCTTCACCTGCTCAGTAGAGACCACCTTGTTTTAATTCCCTATGGTCCCTGGGTGGCACAGGAAGGAATATGAGGTCTTCTTTGAGGAGCTAGTCCCAGTCACAGAACTGGGGATGCAACAGAGGCCCAGTGAATGCTCTGTTGTAGGTTTCTTGCTCCCCACTGCCTATCACAACACTCTCAAGCTTAGACAGCAGCTCTGAGAGAGGTTGATGCCAGGAAGAAGTTAGCCCAAGCACAGGCTAACAGCCTGGGTCACCCCAAGAACCTAGGCTCTGTGTTAGATGGACTTGGGCTTGGCTCTGGCTCTGTGTACAATACAGGGCCAGTCACTCCTCCTTCCTTAACCCCAGCATCCTCATCTGTAGGAAGGGCATCAATCCCACAATCAACAGATGCTCTGTAGACTCAGCTCTCAGGGGAGGTGGCGACAGATCTGACGGTATCCCTGAAGACCCAGAAAAGCCCAGAGGTGTGATACCTGGGAAGCTGAACCTGCTGTCTCGCTGCCCAGGTGATGGGTTGGGGGGCGTGGTGGCGCTGGAGGGGTTGGATGAGGTCAGGAAAGGTGCCGGGGATGAGGGTGTGGAGGACGTGGTGGAGGATGGGTTGCTGCTGGAGTCCAGGTTCATGGCTGGAGGGTGCTCCTGCAAGACCAGAGATGCTGGGATGAATAAGGGTACAAGCTCAACTCAGCAGCTGTCACCTGCTGGAGCCCTCCTTCCACCCCTCACGGGTGGAGGGTAGGACAGGAGATCCCTGGGGGCCAACTGTGAAACCAAGATTATCTGGGACTAACATATGATGGAAGGACACTTAGAAACCCTCCCCTAAAGGATTCCTGCCCATCAACTGCTTCATCCTTCCACGGTGCCCAGCATTTCTTCACCTAGGCACCTTAACGTACACTTGTCAGCTGCAGACAGCCAAGGATGGTTTGCAGACAACCATCTTTCCCACCCCAGCACCCACCTAGCTTTGATCTGGGCACCTTCTTAATAAATTCAATTTATATGCTGACCAACATTTATGCAGCTTCTGCTATGTGCCAGGCCCTAGGCAGGAAGCAAACCGAGTCTGTGGTTTTGTAATCTTGTCCTAGTGTTAAGGAACTCAGAAAACCCCACAAAACTCCGGAAGAGGCAAGAGTTTGGGTCAATGTTGTCTGTTGTCTCAGAGAGTTAAGAATTCCAGAGCTGGAGACTGGCGATGTGGTTCAGTTTGTGTGACGCTTGCCTCCAGATATGGTTTTGATCTCGGCCATGCATAAACTGAGCATAGTGCTACAGAAGGAAGTTGAGGCAGGAGGATCAGAAGTTAGCCTTGGCTATAAAGTGAGACCAGCCTGGGATACATGAGATCTTGTTTCAAAAAAAGGAAAAAAAAATCCAAAGCTAGAAGGAAATTTCTAAGAGAGACTCAGGAACTGATCATGGGGCAGGCCTGGTTCACACCTGCTGTGACTTATTAACGCCATCTCTTTTGCAAGCATGCAAGGTCACGCAAATTAGATCAGGCTAGCCAGAGCTTGCCAACAGATAGCTTGCTAGCTAGGGAGAAATGCTGGGCACTGTGGAAGGACAAAGAGGAAGTGTATAGTTCCAGACAGGGTTTAGACGGGCTTGCTTGTTGGGGGGGTCTTAGGCCACAGAGGGGATGGTAATGGACCAGAGCAGGGAGCAGTGGCCTTCCCTCTTCACTGCAGGAGGGGTCCACAACACTGCAGCTTCAATTCCCATCCAGCCGCCTCTTGCAAAAAATTCAGGTGGCAGGCTCCAGCCTTGGGCAGGCATGAATTCTAGTCAGGATGAAATGGTTTCTGGATTTTAATGACAGCTGAATGTCGTATGTGTGTGCACATGTGAACACATGTGTCTTCATGTGTCTGGGGAGATTGAGACACTTTCTCTTCACTTTCTCCTTGTTTTCTGAGGCGCCCCCACGGAGTAGGGTACACACCGATGCAGCCGGACTGGCTGAGTAGCAAGGCTCTCCCTGTCTCCACTTGATTGGTACTTAGGCTCACAGGTGCACTGCCACGCCTGGCTTTCTGTTCCGTTTTTGTTTGTTTCTTTTAAAGACAGGCTCTCCCTATATAGTCCTGGCTGACTTGAGACTGCTATGTAGATCAGGCTGGCCAGGAGCTCACAGGGATCTGCCTGCCGTAACCTCCTGGGTACTGGGATTAAAGGTCTCAGGCTGGCTTTGTATGTGGGTGTTGGGAATCAGAATCCAGATCCCCACACTTAAACAGCAATCGCTTTATGAATTCTATGAGCCACCTCTCCAACCCCAGTGATGTCATTTATCAATTACTTTCTACCTCTGGGAGGTGATTTTTCTAATTATAACGGTGATGAAAACCTGGGGCTTTTCTATTGTGATGATGGGGACTGTATACCAGTAGATTCCGGTCAGTAAATATGAGTCTTAGTCAGTTGTGCCCATGAGGACAGAGCCGGGCAGATGGTTTGCAGCAGTAAGTCAGGATGGTCCTAGGGAACCCCAGGCTCAGCTCTTCTTCCTTCAACCTCATAAGACAGAACCAGGTCTGATGCAGAATGACTGGTGGTCCCATCAGGGTTCTACCACTTCTTAGCTGGGTGACTCTGGGCAACTTCCTTGACTTCTCTGAGCTTCCATTTCCTTAGTCACATGGATAATACCTCATCACCTTTGCTAGAAGGTTACTGTGTGGATTTGCAGTATAACAAAGGCCAAGTATGCTGTACACAGCAGGTGTCTAATAGTTGCTCAAATCCTTTGTAGACCAGCTGTCTTGGACCAAACAATGCTTAGGATTGATCTTGCTTTGAGACTTAACCAGGCTAAAAGGTCAAAAGGCCCAAGAGGGGTTGGGTGGACTGCAGGTTTGGTCCAATACTAGTGTTTCCTAGGCAGAAAGAAACTCCTTAGATAAAACAGGGCCAAACCAGTTAGTGCTACAAATAACAAGTTTCTTTCTTTCAGATCTCAAGGCTAGGGTGTGCAATGTACCCTGAAACTCACAGAGCTGAAGTTGGCCTTGCTGGCCAGGATGGCTGCCCCAACACAGCACCAACTAAACAACACCCTATTCTTTCTGCTCCTGTTCCAAGGCTCTAGACCTACCTACCCCTCCATTCCCCATACGCTGCAGCAGGCCTGAGCAGGAGTAGCAGCATGTGGGCCACAGATAAGGCTGCGTGGCCCTGGACATACTCATGACCTGTGCTAGTGTCACCCATAGACCGGGCAGCAATGGCTACACTACAGGCTACTCATGTACCCCGTAACCTACACATATGCTAGCACATCCAGGAGACAATGCGGATATTAGAAATGTGAAGGAGGGGACAGCACTGCCTAGACCTCTGGGGACATCTGTGTCAAATGAATGGGGAAAGGGAGGGGAAGGTGGCTAAAGAAAGAGTTAGAAACAGGACAGATATACCCAGGCCCCACCCCAGTGGCCATGCATGAAGCACTGCTATTCCCATTCCATACCATCTGCGCACGAGGCTCAGAGAGGTCTAGTCACTCATCCAAGGTCACAGTAGCACAAAAGGGGACAGTGAAAACTCATAGCCAGGGCTGAGGACCCAAGTGTCTGTGTCCCTCTAAAAGTTGGTATTGAAACCCAGCCCCCAGTGGGCACTAGTGTGAGTGGGTAGAGCCTGTGGGGCTGCTCAGACCATAAGGATGGGATCTTCATAGACAGGGTCACTACCCCGTATCAAACAGGCCAGGGGTACTTACTGGTGGGCTCTTCCATTATGTGGAGACCAGTGAGGAACCGTGAGGAATGGGCTCTGGGGGAGCCAGGGAATCAGTTTCTGCATTTGTAACATGCAGCATGGACATGCTCCTCAGAATTTCTAGGTGTTTGGCACAAAGGAGGTACTCAGGATATGCTGGCTCAGATGTGGGGCAGGGTAGAGGGGCGGGGCATGGGACTGACAGTGCACAACCCCAATATGGACAGAACCAAATCTGCCTGTGGCTAAGCCAGGACCCCTGGAGTGCCTCATCCCTGCCTGTGCCAGGTCTCGGATTGCAGCACGGTGTCCCACTTCCCCACTGAGCCTGATGAGGGGGGCGCTTTGTGGAAGGGAATCCAAGGCTGGGGTGACAGTGCTCCCACAGGGCACGGCCAGCTTACCTTCTTTGTCAGGGCCTTGGGAAGGGTTCCAAAATGGGGCTCTGCTGCTCTGTCCACTGGGTTGTTGATATCTGAGGGGACAGACTCTGTCCTCCGAAGCCTGGCAACTGTTTGGAAAGGAAGGAATCCATTAGGAACAGATTCCGTAAGATGCACCCTGGTTCCTGGAAGTGGGATAAGGGGTGGACTCACGTGGGAGGAAGGATATTCTGCAGGCGGGAGCTTCCTTTGTGCACTTGTTATGACATTTTAACCTGCAAAAGGAGGCAGAGTCAGTACTCCTAACGGACACCCTAGCATCACCCAGACAACTCTGCCATGGCCTCAGTTTCCTCGAAGCTCTCAACAGGTGTTAGCATCAAAGTATGGGGCACCCTGCATGCTGTAGCCAGTGTCTGCGTCCCTACAAATACCTCCCCTGCTTTTTTAAAAAATGATTTTTATTTTATATACATTGATGTTTTTGTCTGTGTGTATGTCTGTGTGACGATGTCAGATCCCCTGGAACTGTAGAAAGTTGTGAACTACCATGTAGGTGCTGAGAATTGAACCCAGGTCCTCTGGAAGAACAGTTAGTACTCTTAACCTCTGAGCCATTTCTCTAGCCCTTTCTCCCCTGCTTTTAAAAGGGGAACTTTTTCCACCTGAGCAAGCCAGGGTCAAATCTGATCTTAAAGAATCGTTCTATAGATCAAGGACCCAGGGGCCCCCAAGGGCATCCTCATTCAGGCACTGGCCAGTCTGATGGGCAGTCGCCAGCCAGGAACAGAAACAGCTGGGCTCTCTGTTGGGCCTAACCAGTCTGTCCCACAGATCTCAGTGTTCCTGCTAATGAAATGGGTCTCAAGGCTGCTCTACCACTCCAAGTGTAGGACTTGCAGTGTGGGGCTCAGAGGCCACCGTGTGCTGGTCACATCGGGATGAGAACTGAGGATCTCCTTGATAACCAAATGACCAGGAGCTCCTCGGAGGCCAGGGACAGTCATCAGGACACAGTCAGGCTGACCCGGAGGCTGTCACTCATGGCAGCTCAGATAATGAGGGGTCAGCTTCCGAGAAGTCTACATGGTAGATATCTAGCCCAAAAAGGGCAAGTGCCTTACTCCACATGACACAGCAACATCAGGGCAAATGCCAGCTTGGAACTGAGACTCCAGGACATCCTCTGGAAGGCATGTGGGCAACCAGATAGCGGAGGACAGACTGCCGGCCCTCACTGTTCCTATCCATGTCCCTTCCCACTGGGAACCATATGCTATGACACGGCAGAGCTGGGCTGGTATCAAACCTCCATCTCCCCTTGCCCGGTCATAAGGCAACTGCTTCTGCCGCTGCCTGTCAGGCAGCCCATCTCTTCAGAACTCCTGATCCCAGGATCCTCACTTCCTTCCTTGCCTTTGAATTTTTTCCTCATCTACCCAGAGAAGGTTCTAATAGAACTCCTCTTCCTCCTTCAAAACTCACTTCAAATATCCCTTCCTTCCAAGAGTGCCTCATTTCACCTCCTAAGGGGTCCTGAGCACCTGGCATGCCCAGTGGCACTGTGACCAGCTGGTTAGGGGAAGTCCTTCCACTCTGATGTGACAGGAGGCCAAGAATGAAGTAACAGAGCTATTATAAAGGGCAAGTATCTGCTCTCCCCTTCGTCCATCACCTGCAGTGTTTGCACTTCACGCCGAACATCATGCTCTTCTGACACACGTTGCAGACCTGTGACAACCATGACTTTGTGGAGAACCTGTAGGGAGTAGAAAAGTGTGTGGGGATTAGAGCCTGGCATCTGGATGGGTCCCATGTAAAGGGAGTCTTGGCCTGATCCCAGAACCCCAGGCATCTGGATTCCCCAGCTGCTGTCAATATCTTAAAGGTTGTGTGGTCAATGGCACCAAGGCAACCAGAGCACCGGTGTGCACGCCCTTGGATCCAGCAATTCTATTCCTTGGTATTTCTTCACCATGTTAGTCCTGGGGTTGGGGGGATGTCACGTGACATGGACACAGCGCTCTGCAGCCTTGTACCACAATAAGGCTGGAAAACCATGTCCACCAGCAGGTTACCACAGTCTGTCCCTCCACACAGAGGAGCACATGCAGCTAGATGACAGGAACTATTTCCACACACATGAGCAGCTACCTCCAAATCTCACTACAAGGTGGCAAAATTAAGTCCAATAGGACAGGATGCCATTGCTGATGGTCAAGCACAGGAAAAGCCCATCTGTGATGGCAGGCTCAGAGAGTAATTGCAGGTGGCAGCAAGATAAACTGGGAAAAGCCAAAACTGACTATTAGGGCTGGAATGTTTTGTATCTCCATCTGCGTGTACACAGGGGATAGCTATAAACTCATATGTGTGTTTTCCTTTATGTAAATCACATGGATTTAAAGAGGAGGGAAGCAAAGCATGAAGCTGTTATATGTGCAATTTTGTGGAAGCAGAACATATATACACACTTGCCTGTATAAATCATCTCTAAATAGATACATGACCTGTTGGCAGGCACACTAAGAAGCCAGGGGACAAGAGAGTGGGGGATTTTCACTATTCCCTTTGAAACTTCTTGAATTCCAAGCATATGTACTTTCAGTCTAAATATTTACCAAAACCAAAACAAACCAGAAGATAGACTGGAAGGGGAAACGGGATTTAAAGGGAGTGGTGTCCCCCATCACAAAAGCATAAAGCCAGCCCAGGGAAGTACAGGCAACCCTTTCATTTTCTGGGGGAGGGGGGGACAGGACAGGACACTGTAACACAGCAGAAAGACTAGTGACAGCCTTTGTGCCGCAGTTTGTAACACACCCACAAATCTCACTTGAGGATTACAACCGCCTCCAAGAGTTAGGTGGGACCAGGAATTTGGAAAAACAAACTCAGAGAGGTGGGTGGTGGTCTATCCTAGCTGTGTGCCCCAGATCCTCTTCCCTGAGACAGTGGCTGAAGGAGCCTGGCATGGGCAAGACTACAAGCAGAAAGCTGTGCACAAGGGCTCTGCCCCTATGACAGTGACCTCAGATGCACTGTTCAACCCTTGGGAGCTAGAACTCCCCCTTGGGTAAGAACTTGAGGCCAGCATCAGCACAGCTGGAAAACAGCCCACGGTTTTCATGGGAACCACAGGCCCTGGCAAGTTGAGATGCCCTTGAGCCCCTGACAGTGTTCCCTGCTATGATTACAACAGACTTTAGCAGGGACAACTAGAGCATGGGCAACCCAAGGCACTGTCCTGCAAGCCGTCCAGAACCCTGTGGCTAGCACACTCCAGTCTCATGAGTGTTGAGGCCAGACCTCTGGATGGTCCTCTTTTATATGTACAAACATCAACCTCTGGGATTGTTAAAATCCAGATTGTTGCTGGATGTGATGGTACACATCTTTAATCCCATCCATTGTGAGGCAGAGGCAGGAGGATCTCTGTGAGTCCTAAGGCCAGTCTGTCTACATACTAAGTCCAGGTCAGCAAGGGCTACACAGTGAAATCCTGTCTCAAAAATAAAATAAAATAAAATAAAATAAAATAAAATAAAATAAAATAAAATAAAATAAAATAAAATAAAATAAAATAAAATAAAATGGCCAGGCAGAGAGGCATATGGGTAGCATTTAGAAACATGGATTTTCAACACGCTTCATGGAGGATGATCCTAATGGCCTTAGGACCTGCATGGCATGATGCAAATGTAGAAAAGTTTGTGCCTTCTTCCCATGACTGTGGTCCTATGTTTCTTGAAGAGGGAGAGCATCTTCCCTCTGCGGGATGAGAACAAGACCCAAGTGGGGACCAGAAAGCCCAAAACGTGTCTGGTTAAATAATTCAAGAACTCGAGCTTTGTTCTAAGATAAGCAGACAAGCCAGAGGCAAAGAGCAACCAAGACAGACCCAACAGTGCCCCACGGAGCCCAGGCCAGCTCTGTACTATGACTGAACCTACCTGTGTGTCACTGGGAGCCCGATATCCCTTCGTACCAGCTGTGGGGATCCATGAGGGAGTTCTGTGGGGGAAAGAAGCCAAGCTGGGTGAACTGGGGAGGCACTGTAGAGCTGGCTCCTGCTCGTGAGCTTCTAGTTCCGAGAGAGAGCATGGGCTAGATGGGGCTGGACGCTGTGTTCCACTGGGTTGCTCTCTGCCATGTGTCACTGGCCAGCTCTTCGGATGGCACACTTGTCTACATATGGCGGGTCTGCTTCGGTGGGGGCAGCAGGGGTGCAAAGCTGAGAGAATTTCATGTGCATGCCAGCCTCTTGCCCCCTTTCATGGGCATTCACTCTTAAGAGTCAATTCTAGCTAATTCTGGTTAAACTGGTGGAAACCTGACCTCACCAGGGGGTACAGGGCTGGTCTGCCATGCAACTCCACCCGTGCCCTTCCAGCCAGCAGCACCCTGGGGATAGTTCTGCTGATCTCGGAAGAGCAAGGAGAGGGTGTGGCTCTTCCAGGCCATCCCTTGAGCCTTTAGGGATACCTCTGTTCCCCTTTCTCTGCTGAGGAGGACCACAGGCTTGGAGGCTCCCTTCTGCTTACCTTATGCAGGTCCCTGCGAGCTCCCTCTCCTAAGATGGCTTCCTCTAAGAGCAGACATACCAGTGTTTATGGCAAAACCAGCTTTGCAGTGGAACAGCAGCTGGACACTGTCATTACCTACAGCCTAAATGACCAGCCCGTGCCCCATTTTTTCTGAGCCCAAAGAAGATTCAGGGACTCAGAACTCCCCAGGGCTGGCTGGTAGACTACTGCAGGCTTTTTGTTTGGTAAACAGGGTCTGGACTTTTAGCCAATGTATCAAAGGGCTCTATACCCCCGAAAAATCAGAATCAGTGCTCAAGTGACAAAAGTCCCTTGAGTCAGCACCCATCCCCCAAGGGTAGCTACTGTCCCTCCTTCCTTATGTTCTTTCACGCAGCTGGTGATCACAGCATGCTGACTCAGCTAAGGCCAGGTACCACAGACTCAACAGCACAAGGAAGACCCCCGCCCCACACCAAGGAAGGAATTGTGATCATGACAAAAGAGCCCCTGTCACCCTCCTGATGAATGGGAGCCAGCTCTATCACCAGCAGCTCTCTAGCACATCCTCCATGAGGATGTCTACCCCTCAACTTCCTCCCAGGGCCAACCCTGCTCCGGTCTACGGCCAAAGCTGTCTGTGAGACATGTGAGCTAGCAGCTACAGAAACAGTGGCCAAGTGAGAGACCAGCCACCGAGCTCAGGGCCTGGCCTCCGATTTGTCATGTCGGCCACAAGTATGCAACCTTTTGTGCCAGGCTGCATGGCTCTGGATCCAGGTGGAATACTGGTCCTGGGAACAACCCCCCCCCCCCCAGCCTCACTGCTGTGTGCCCTCCACCACCACAGCCACCAGAGAATGAATAGTCATGGTCAGGGATATCCTAGGTTCAGAGATGCCAGCTTTGGTAATGGCCCTAGAGAGAGAAGTACAGGTACCTTCTCCTCCTTCCGTGCCCTCCTGGAACGGTGCAGGAGCTCCCTCCAAGACTGTCACTATCTGCCAGGCCCTGCCTGCCAGGACCTACCTGTCCTCTCTCCCCATGCCTCACCCCAGACACTGTTACCATCCATCTAGCTAGTAGAAAAACAAGTCGCTACTTCACTGAGAAAACCCTAGCTACTTCTGGGGCACTCAGACTACCCAAAACGGACTCAGGAGGCCCAGCTCACCCCTCTGCTGGGAGTCACAGGACCTCACAGTTTGTGAGTGCATGTGAGATCCTGCTCCCAGCTGGAGATGGAAGGGAGGAAGGGGGGGGGTCCAGGGTTGCCTAGGCCTTCTCCTTCTCTTCAGGGACTTGTATTCTCAGCTTGGAGTCGACTCTAGGAATTCCTGTCTCCTAGAGAGGGGAGTCTTGAGCCATCAGCGGGGCTCCGGCTGGATGACATCCCCCACCCAGAGCACAGCTCTCTGAGGCAGCTCAGAAGGCAGAAGCAGGCACAGGGGTCACTTCATCGATGTCAAGGTGGAGACAGGCTTGGCATAGGGCTCACGGGGGACACTTTCCAAGTCTTTACTTCCCATGGGCTGGGATAAGACCAGCCTGTCATTTTAAGGCCAGCTGTCTCAGCTATTTCATGAAGTGGTTGCCAACACTTTTGCTTCTGGACTATGGAACAGCCAACAGGGCTAAGGTGTGGTCAGAGAACTCCACCACAGATGGGAACATCGACTTGACCATGACTCCCGGTGGCAGAAGGGATGAAAATGAATTGTTCTTACCAAACCTGGAAAGACAAAAAGGAGAATAAGGGGTGATGTCACCATGTTGGCTCAGCCTGTGCTTGGAAAGCTACCTGGTTATAGAGCAGGCCAAGGGCTGGGACAAGGGACAGAGACCTAGCCCTGGGTAAGCCTTGCTAGCCACCCAACAGAGCAGATTCACCCCACTTTTACCATTGACAAAACAAGGTCTTCCTAGGTCATGTGGCCCATGGGGATGAGTGTCCAAGGTCCAGGAAGAAGGGGGTAGACTGGTCTGTTAGAGAGGCAGGGAACTGGGTACAAGAGCAGAGACTCAGGCATGCAGAGCTGAAAGGTAGATTCTGGGAAGGGTTAAGTAGGAACATGCTCTGAGCAAACCTGCCTTCTCTTCTGGAGCTCCCCTCACCCAAAGGAGGCAGGGGCTGGGGGGATGAGGGCTTTCTGCTGCCCTTGGAGCTCACCAGGGAGTCCCTGTCAGGGCTGAATCGGGTGGCTGGGTTTGAGGGACTCAGAATCCCTAGGTCTAGCCTGAGGCTTGTTCTGCTCTTCTCAGGAGAGAATGGGAAACAAGGGGTTGGCTGCAGGCTGCTGTTAGAACCTCTCTGGTGGGCCCTTGGCCTTGAGGCAATAGTCCTGCATTCTACAGCTGCATCTGGGGCACGTGGGCTGGGCAGCACAGCTGGATAGAGAGGGGCAGCACAGGGAGCTTCTGGGTTTCTGCTCCATAATGCAAAGTCATCTCAGCCATCCGGCATCCGACATACAACGGACCCAACATAGGCTTCATGCTAGCAGAAAGCCAAGAGGGACACTAAGGTCCTCGGAACCATGTCAAAGAGCCAGGCACCTGAAGCCTCAGGGAAATAAGAAAAAGAACCCAGAGAGAACAGCAAGACCCACAGAGGTCTAAACGTCCACCAGAAGGGATGTGCTGACCAAGTTATACAACAGTGTGCCAGGAAAGGGATTTTAAGTCTGGTTGCTTCGATTAGTATGGCTATTGGTAGCGGGGTATGGAGGAAGGCACACTTTTATGGCCTTTGGACCGTCTAGATAGTTGTTGTACTGTACCAGTTAGGAAATAAAGATCAGATAGAAAGTGCATGCTCAGCACGGCCACAGGGAGTGTTTTTTCCCCCAAATGTTTTCTTCTGTGCGTTAGAGATGGTAAGTATTTTATCACGAAACCGCATCCCCGACTCGTTCCCAGTATTGCTGGATTCTCAGGAGCAACCCACGAACACAGAGAATCAGTTGTATTTAATTGCCCATGCACAATATCTAGAACTTACTGTTTGATCTGCCAGTGACCAAGTAAGTAATGGTCCAGAGTGGGGCTGTTCTCCTAGCCTCTGAGAATCAAGTCTTTGGCATTTTAAGCACTGGAGATACAGGGCCTGTTTGTTACTGTGGCCTAGTCTAGCCTATTCTGACTGATACATGGCATCATTTTATATGTGAGTGTGTGTACAGTAAGAGAGTTGGGATTCAGTCCAATTGCATCAGAGGGATAGACACCTATTTTTTTTTCCCACCATACTTCTATGTGGGTTGACTTTATCAGTCCTCTGTGCATGCCTAAGAGGATGCCACAGGGCTAACTCACCTCATCGGGGTGACTTCATCAATTCGGTTTCCCAGCTGGGACTCGTGGGACTTGCTCCGTGTGAGTGTGGGGAAGCTGGGGAGCAGCTGGAAGACCTTGCGGCTCGGCGGTGGGGGTGTCCTTGGTGGCTTCAGCTTGGCGTGCCGTCGTAGCTGGGGTGTGGTCGGGGGTGTGATGAAGCTGTGCAGGGCCCGGGGGGTCAGCCGCCCACTGGTGTGCAAGGGGATACAGGTGTCCGAGAGGCCCTCACTGAGGCCGGGGACTGGAGAGTCTGAGGCAGGCAGGGCAGACACTGAGACAGAACGGGGCCCCTGAGTGCTGGCACTGGCTCTGCCTAGTGAGGAGAGCATGTCCACTGAAGGCCCAGAGTTACTTTCTCGTGTATCTGCCGAACTCCAACCAGAGTCTTCTTTGTGCTCCCCTCCTGTGGGCCAAGGAGTCGGTCAGAAATGCAAGGCACTCAGGGGTGCCACTACTACAGGAAAGCAGGACACCTTGATGGAGGCGACACCAACATTCAGCAGCAGGTTCTGCTCCTAGCTTCACCTTCTCTACCCAACAGTACCTTTCATGGCACTCAGCTGACACCAGGCTACCAGCACCAATGTCATACTCTCTGCTGCACTGAGGAGATGCTGGGTTGCCTACCCCAAAGTGAGGTCTCAGAAAGGGAAGAGGTGGCAGCTCCTGAGGTATGTGAGGAAGGGAAAGTTCGTCTTTAAGAATATTCGCTGGGTGGGAGGTGGCACACACCTATGATCTCAGTATTCAGGGGGTAAAGGGAATCTGACGCTCAAGGCCATCCTTGACTACATATCGAGTTCAAGGCCAGGGTAGGCTACAAGAGACTCTGCTTCAAAAACCCAAAAGGAACAAAGACAAAAATCTTCAAACTTCAGCTGGGCGTGGTAGTGTGTGCCTAAGAGACCTTGCTTATGGAGCAGGAGTGAAACAAAGCAGACAAACGGAAAACAAAAGCCACGTGTCATCCAGGTATGGTGACACCAATCTGTATCACAGCACTCACAGAGCTGACACAGAAGGAGGGTGAGCTCAAGGCTGGCCTAGACCACATAAGAAGAAAAGACCAGAGACCATAGGGAAAACGATGGCAACATTTCCCATTCTCCAGATGCCTGACCTTTAGTGACCCCTAGTTCATTTCTCCATCGTGACAACCCTGTCAGAGGGGCAGCCATACGGTACAGATGAGGAACCGAGGCACAGGGAGGCCGAGGGGTCGGACTCCTCAGCTCATCCTTGCTGTGACTGGGCTGCTCTCACCAGGTCCTGCTGGAGTGCAGGCAAGATGCTCTGACTGGAGTCATGTGGGATGACGGGAAGCCCACGACCTGTCACAGGGACACAGGGGCCTCACCGCTGAATGAACAAGAAAGGAAGCTGTGGAAATTCTCTTCCCTAGGGCTGTGTCCTGGCATGGTGGATCCCAGACATACCACAGACACTCAGATGCTGTGAATAAAGAACTTGGCTCTACCTTTTTGGGGGAATAAAATACATTAGCTAGACATGGTAGCACACTCAGCAGAGGTAGAGGCAGGGGGATCTCTGTGAGTTTGAGGCCAGCCTGGTGTAGACAGGGAGTTCCAGGCCAATCAGTGCTACACAGTGAGACTCTGTCTTTGAAAAGGAA